TAGAAGCATTGAAATATATATTAGGCCAAATTTATTACATACCACCTGTATTAATACGCCAGGGCTAGCATAACAAATAATCACAACCTGGGTAGCTTAACCAGCAGAAATTTATTTTCTCAAAGTTCAGGAGGCTAAAAGTCCAATATCAAAGTGTTGGCAGATTTGATTTCTTCAGAGATCTCGATCCTTGACTTGCAGATAGTGCCTTCTCGGTCTTTACGTGGCTTTTCCTCTGTGTTTTTGTATCCCTGGTGTCTCTTCTTTGGCTTATAAGAGCACCAGTCCTGTTGGATTCGGGCACGGCCCTTATGAACTCATTTGACCTTAACTACCTCTTTAAAGGCCCTATTTCCAAATATTAGTCATGTGCCACATTACAACTTTTCAGTCAATGACAGACCACATATATATGACGGTGGTCCCATAAGATTATAACGGAGCTGAAAAAGTCCTATTGCTTAGTGATCTCGTAGCCATGATAGTGTCATGGCGCAGCACATTCCTCAAGTGTTTGTGGTGATGCTGGTGCAGATAAACCTACTGTGCTGCCAGTCATATAAAAGTCTAGCACATACAATTATGTACAGTACAAAATACTAGATAATAAATGACTAGGTTACTGGTTTATATATTTACTATACTATACTTTTTATCATTATTTTAGAGTGTACTCCTACTTATTTAAAAAAAAGTTAACTGTAAAACAGCCTTAGGCAGGTCCTTCAAGGGGTATTCCAGCAGAAGGCAATGCTATCATATAAGATTATAGCTCCATGGTTGTCGCTGCCCCTAAAGACCCTCCAGTGGAATAAGATGTGGAGGTGGAACACAGTGACATTGATGATCCTGGCCCTGTGTAGGCCTAGACTAATGTGTGTGTTTGGGTAAAAGTGAAAAATAAGCTTTTTTTGTATGCTTAAAATACTTTAATAAAGAAAATATTTTTGTACAGCTGTACAATGAATTTATATTTTAACCTAAGTATTATTGCAAAAGAGTCAAAAATTTAAAAAATTAAAACTAAGCTAAGGTTAATTTATCACTGAAGAAAAAAATTTTTTTATAAATTTAGTGTAGCCTAAATATATAGTATATAAATTCTACAGTAGTATACAATAATGTCCTAGGGCCTTCACATCCACTCACCACTCACTGACTCACACAGAGCAGCTTTCAGTCTTGAAAGCTCCATTCATGGTAAATGCCCCAAACAGGTGTATCATTTTTTATCTTTTATACCGTATTTTTACTGTGTCTTTTCTATGCTTAGATATGTTTAGATACACAAATACTTAACGTGGTGTTACAGTTGCCTAAGGGATTCAGTACAGTACCTGCTGTACAGGTTTGTAGCCTAGGAGCAATAGGCTAGATCATAGAGCCTAGGTGTGTAGTAGGCTATGCCATCTAGGTTTATGTAAGTGCACTCCATGATGTCACACTGTGAAACTTTTCTCAGAACGTATCCCCATCGTTAAATGATGTTTTACTACACAAATTGAGGGTTAGGGCTTCAACATAGATTTTGCGGGGGGAGCTCGATACAGTTCATACGTAACACTACCAGTTCCTACCTATTCTAAACCAAAAAAGAATTTCCACCTCTGAGTCACATATGGAAACAAAATCAGTGTGAAGAGACTTTAATGGAAGAGTGCATTGGAGAGTTAAAATGGTTACATAGGTAATTTAGGGAAAAAATTTAGAGTGAAAAAGGACTGATTTGCCTAAATTACTCAATTTCTCTTGTCCAATGTCACATTTGCTATCTCCATGTGGTACGATGATAGAAACCTGATATTGCCGAGTTGTAGGTGTAACTGCAGCGTCAGCCACTCTGCTACACTTTAGATCACACTCGTTAGTGCCAGAGCCCAGCCCCACTTACAGGGCAGCTGATGAAAGGTTAGCTGCGGCAGTTCTACCACCATGCCACTGTGCTCCAAAGAAATCCACTTTAGTGGTTGTCCGTGGCCCAGTAGTTTTACCTGAAATTAAAAACATACATACAAATGTCTCCAAATGCATCTCTTTGACTCACCCACTTTCTATTGGGAAGGAGTGATTGGCATTTCTATAACAGCAGTATAGATAGGCTATTCATTTTTTACCTTTATTTAGTGATTCACGAGGTGTTTTAACTCTTGATCCACTTGAGTGAATCCATCTACCTTGTTTTTATATTCTTGCTTCCATATTACACTCAAAAAGGAAATAAAAGTGTGTAGAGGTTGTGGAAGAAGTGTAAAGGTAGAATGGAGCGTTGGAGTGGGGAAAATGCTGAAGAGAAAATGAGTCTGGAACCAATCTGCCCAACTAAGGCCTGCCCAGTTCTTACACAGAATATTTGCAGAAAGGTTCTCTTCTCATCCAGCCACTGTTCCTCCCTAGATTTTCCTGTAACCACTAACTAATCCATAATACATAAATTTGATCATTACATTTGCTTATCACTCTATTTGTTTAATATCCTTAGTCTTAATGATGATACTAAGTGAATTCAAATAAGTAGTTCTCTACATATTCTGGGGTTATTTTGAACCACAAAACTTTGCTTATCAGATTCAAAACCCATGAACTTTAATTGTCTAGTAAATCCAATCAAAAAAAGAAAAAGTAACCCATGAACTTTTAAATTATATCAATTGGTGCCAAGAAGAACAGAGATAAAATTCTAAAATAACCAGTTTCATACCCACGCTACTAAGCTATATTTAAACATTAGATTTGAACTCGATCTTCTTTCTGCCTGACCAGCCACAAGTGTTAGAGATGAAATGTGGACAGGTGATGCGAGGAGAACCATCTGGACAATTCACCTCTAAAGGGGTCATTAATTTCTTAAAGAATATTGCCAGTCCTGGTGGTTACAACAGCTAGATTAATCTTTTACTTTCTCCAAAATGCTTTCTAAATTTAAAATAGTAGGGTTGTGATATCTTACTATTTTTCAGATGTGTTCTGCGGTAGAGTGTCAGGGAAAGTATCTGAATTGCAGTTTGATGAAAAGGATGATTTTGGATGCATGCAGTGAACTTGAACAACATAGAATGACTGTGAAGAATAATGTCTATTTTACAGTGATACACGTGAAGATAAGGTAACAACTGATCCATCAGTTTAGATGCCTGGGAAACAAAAAGTTTCAAAGGTTTTGGCCAAACATTACCGTTGAATGAGCTCATTTTAAAATTACTCTCATAGGGTATAAAAGGAACACATGTAAGACTCCTCTTAAAGTTAAAAGTTATGTTTTCGTCAGGATACTTTATTCAGCAATTTAAAGGTAAAATTGAAGGTAAAATTCCCCTCTTACCTCTGTTGCCCCCAGAGTAGCTTTGGGCTGGCCAAGAAACAACTTTCCTGATGTGGGCCATTTAAGAAAAATGGCATAGACCAGTTTTTCTTTAGGTTTGGATGTGTACCTTGTTAAAAGAAAAAATAAAAAGCATAGTAACAAAGAAGTTACACCTCATGTTTCTCATCATTTATGGGTCAGGTCTGGAATTATTTTACAGAGATACTTTCATTTAGTAAATGTTTACCAATGTCTCCATTAATAGAAGGGGAGGAAAAATAGCCCTATGCTGGTATAAAAAGCACCTCACTCCCCCACTCCCCTAAGACTAAAAGGAAGTAAAGATGTTCCTGGGCTAGTGTTCTTCTTCATCCGACTGCTCTCGTGGAGCTGAAAAGGGGAGTCGGTGAGCTAAGGGGGTGTGATGCAAGAGCTTCATGGTTTCCCACGTGCCGATTCAAATTTTTATATTCATTAATTCAGTGAGATAAGATATGCGTGTGTCAACACTGGGCCTGGTACCGTGCTCAGTGTTGGGGATACGAAAGAAAACAAAACACGCATAGTTCTTATTCTCATGGAGCTTAGACTAGTGGCAAAGGCAGACATTAAATAATCACACAAATAATACGAAAGTGTGATTTTTGATAAGCACTATGAAAGAAAAGGAAATTGAGACATCATAACAATAGGATCTCTTCAGATCAGCATCGGAAAAAAGCCTCCCCAAGAAAATGATATTTAGTCTGGGACTTAAAGGATGAATAAGAACAAAGGAAAAGGTAAGAGGAGTATGCTCTAGACAAAGAAAACCACTCATTTATTCATTCAATTATTCAACAAATATTTAGTGAAATCTTAAAAATGCTAGTCATTGTTTTAGAGCTAGAGATACAGCATTGAACAAAGTCCTTGTCCTCCTGGAGCATACATTCTAGTGGGTGAAATTAGAACGGACAAATAAATATATGTCAGGTGACGATTAAGTGCTATGCAGAAAACTAAAGCCAGGTCAGAAGGACAGGGCATGCTGAGTAGGAAAAGAGGGGCCTGGGGATGTGATTTTAAGTAGAATAGTCAGGAAGACCTCTCTGAGGAGGTGGCATTGAGGAAACCTGAAGAATGAGGAGAGCCATGGGGGAGCCATGGGAACATCTGGAGAAAGAACCTTCCAGGCAGAGAGAACAGCAAGCACAGGAGCCCCAGTGCAAGAGTTTGCTTGGCCTGTTGATACAATAGCAAGGAAGGCAGAGGAGCTGAAGAAGAGGGAAGGAGGGAAAGGTGACAGCAGACAAGATCAGAGGCTTAGATCAAGAGCCAGATTATATGAGGCCTTGTAAACTTCTGTAAGACCCGGCCCTTTCTCTGAGAGTGGAAGCCACTGGAGGAGTCTGAGCGTGGAAGTGGCATAACCTGACTTGTTATTTTAGAAGTTTACTCCAACTGCTTTGTGGAAACCGGATCAAAGGGGCAAGGGTGGAAACAGATCAGTGAAGAAGCTACAGAGATAATCCAGTCAGGGGCGAGACGACGGAAACCAAAAGGACGAGAGTTGCCACAGAAAGCATGAGAAGTGGTCAGATTCTGGATGTATCTCAAAGGTAAAGATGACGGCACCTGCTGATGGATTGGCTGTGGATGTAAAAGAAGGGGAAGTCAACCGCTCCAGGGCTTTGGGCCTGACGACCATCCAAAAGGATGAATATGCCATTAACTGAGATGGGGAGGATTGTGGGTGGAGCTAGTTTATAGCAAAATGTCAAAAGTCAGGACTTCAGTTTTGGACATACAGGTTTAAGATGCTTATGCATCCAAGTGGAAATGTTGAGGAGGAAGTTAAATATATGAGGCTGGACTTCAGTGAGAGGTCCGCACTGGAAATATATATGTGGAGGTCATCATTGTGACATTTAAAGCCATAAAAATGGATGAGATCACCTGGGGAATTAAGAAAAATAAAGATAAATATAAGTCCAAGGACTAAGCCTCAGGGCACTTCAAGATTTAGAGGGTGGGAACTGAGATGGAAACAGCAAAGGAGACTAGGAAGGAACAGCCAAGAGGTACAAAGGAAACCAGGAGAGACAGTGATCAACTGAGGCAAATGCTGCCAATAGGTTCAGAAAATGAGAACTGGGGACTAGCCACTGGATTTAGCAAGGGAGACTTATCCTGGGCCTTGGGAACAGCAATTTTGTGGAGTGTGAGGGAAGCCTACCCAGAAAGGGTTCAAGAGAAAAATTGGAAAATTATTAATTTTAAAGAAACTTCAGGTTTAAATTTATTAGAATAGTATGAACAAGTAACAAGTTTTTGAATCAATTAAAACAATGCTGTTATTTTTGGCTGATTTTTTCCATTTTAAAATGTTTATACATATAAAATTTACCATGTTAAACCTTTTTAAGCAGTGGTTCAGTG